CCGCCCACCTCCATGGGAGAAATGGCTCCAAAAAAGCTCCAGATGATTGGGCCAAAGCCCATCTATGTGGGAATGGTTCCTTAGAAAGCCAGGACGGTGAAGGGTTCTGGTACTTGCTAGAGCTGCAGCCACAAAGGGCCTCTGGGATGTGTCCCAGCTGTTTTGTCCTAGACTCCCTACAGGCCCAGGGCAATGAAACGTCCTCAAACCTGCAACCCACAGTCGGCCTGAGGTGTCACTAGGGCCCTGCTTTCCCAAAGGAAACGGAGCCTTGAGAGACCAATCCAGTGTCGGCCGCTGTAAGAACCATGTCCCCCAACTCCTCTCCGGGGCCTGCCACATGGCTGTCTGGAGACAGTTCAAGATCCCCTGGCCACATGCGCCCCTCCAGCCCCTGGAAGCACATCGCTGCCAGCGCTTTCTCCACCTCCCGGTCTCCCCTCGCCAGTTGAGGGAACCCGTTCCCGGCTCGGGACCCAGCTCTCCCTGCCACTTGTAACTGCAAGTTCGGGGCAAGGGACACCTGCCAAGCCCCAAATTCGTCGCCCCCGAATTATAGAGAACACCCTCTGCGTGGGGTTGCCATGAGGAGTAAGTGAGGTGTTTGCAGAGTACTTAGCACAAGTGCTGCCACCCAGTAATGCAAACCATCGGTGGTCTCGAGAGGTGCTCGGCCCTGGGAAGGGCATTCAGTACTGTCCCAGGGAGCGGTTTCAGCCCTGCCCTGGTCAGGGCTGTTCCCTGCCACGACTGGACTCCCCTCCGGGCCCAGGGGCCAGTCCCAGGCGGGAGGGATGACCCACCAGGCCAGCTGCGTCCGTCCTCGGGGCCAGACGCAGCTCCGTAGGGAAGTAATTCTGTTTTTACGCTGGTTTTGGCGTGTACGTGCCGAGGGGGAGGGGGTGCAGAGTGGAGGTTCTCACAGTTTGTTCTCTCTCCTCTAAGCAAAATGAACATCTTCCCTCTCAACTATCCAAGACAGGTGTCCTATAATGAATTTCTCAGTACAGAAACCAAGATGTCCTGAGAGCAGAGTACAAGTTCTTTTAATTATACTCTTGAAAAACGCCGTAAGTCAAAACCCTGGAATACAGGAAAGGCTCGGTCTCTGCCCCAGGGAGAGCCCTGGTCTGTTTCAGCCTTGCAGAAAGGCCCCGGGGGTCTTGTAGTTCCGTGTGCTTCGTATTTGGTCAGAGCCTTAAAACTGGCCCATACGCTGCTCTGAGATTTTGCGAAAATAACTGATTCAGTTAAATAACAGTCTCCAGGGGGAACTGGTCTAAGAGGTGACCACTACCCACCTCAATTCAGAGCCTGTTCTGCCCGAGGCCACTGAAACCGGATACCCCCCTTCACAGGTCCGCAGGTCAACACAAATGGGGCCCCTGCTAAAAACATCTTCAACCAATATTCCTGCCAAAGAGGTCAGCTGGCAGGCATCTGTTAAGCCCCCGACTTGGTCAGCACAGCTTATGTGCCCATTTCTAGATCTAACCAATACGTAGTTACTTCTCCCCTCATCTTTGACAGTCAAGGGAAGAGCGCAGAAATAAGGGTCCCATCTGGCAGAAATGAGGGGTGTTATCAACATTTATGAACCAGAACTGGGCTGTAGACCTTCTGGGTGTAGGCTATCCCCGCGCCTTCAGAACGATCCAGAACCATACCCTCACACCTGGCTGAGGGGTGATCAGAGCTGTCACTCAGAGCTGCAATTCTCCGAGCAAAGAGCACATCACGATCGCCTCTGTCTGCGGTGCAGCGAATGTTGGTGGCTGACTCTTCAGTGACCAGGCCAGAGGGGAAACTGAGTTTTTAAACCAGGACCACAGGAATCTGAAACGCTGGAAGAGGCAAGGCCCGCTCACCTGGGAACCTGTGTGAGCCTGTGCAGAAACAACACTACCCTCCGGCCCCGTGGGCAGCACTGTGGGGTCTGAAGTGGGCTGGTCCTTCGTGAGCAAGAAACGACTGAAGGGGACGGAGACAAAGGGAGCAAGACCTACAAGTAACAAGAACATGTAGGTGGCAGAGAACCTGGAGACGGGGGCTGCCCAGGGCTCTGGGTTGATGCCCCCCAAAGACATAGCTACATTCACCGGCTCAAACATAAAAGGGAACAAACTATTCTGGGGGGCGGGAGGAGGGAGGAAACCACCTGTAGTCTTTGAAAACAGTATTCGCTGCCTCACGGCTTTCTTTTACCGTTTTAAACCCGTGCTGTCTGAGCGTGGCCCCCATTTGTCCAGTGAATTCTATGCAAATGTTTCATGACACTGCTGTGAAGAGAACAATGTGTACCTGGTACACACTGAGCATACCCAGGGGTGGGAGAAGAGGGAGGGAGGAAGCAAAGAGGAGCGGCCTCCTTCCCCACTGCGCGCTACAGATGTGCCCGCGGAGCCCGAATACACAGCAGATGGCCCCTCCCCGGAGGCAGGGGCAGAACCCTCTACCCACTCCCCAGCCTCCGGGAACAGTCTTCCTTCCACCGGCAGGCACTCGAGTTATTATGCATCTAGACATATGGATATATACTCTACAAGGAGGCCCCGACAAAGCCAAGCTCGCACGCTGGCTCCTCACACTAGTCAATGCCAAGTTCAGCTACGGCAGCAGCCACACCAGCCCCCGCCTCTCCATTACAGAGTTCACAGCTGGAGTCGGAAAGAGCTACGCTCCGGAGGGGGGGGGGGGTGGCGGGGAACACGGTAAGGCCATGTGCTCTCCCCCTTCTTTCTCGGGCATTCCTGGAAGCCAGCCTCATCTACTCCTTGGGGATCTCAAACATGCAGAGGCTCTTGTACTTCTGCAGAAGTTCGTTCTTGGTCCTGACTTGCTCTCGGAGGCTGTGCAGCTGCTGCTGCTGCTGCTCGGGACTCAGGTGGATGCCGGGCATGGTGTTGATGACCTTCCGCATCTCCTGGAACTTGGTTTTGAGGGCGTTCAGGTCCTGGTGGATGTCGGGGCTGTCCTTGTCCATACTGCAGGGAGCAGAGGGAGGTCGTTAGCATTCATGGCTCAGAGTGCGGCAACGCCTGGCTTCCTTCCCCTGTACCCCACAGAAGTCGCTGTCTTCCTACGTCATCTTTTAGAATGCCTTGTTTTCTATGTCCCCTCACTAGGCTGTGCACCCCCCACAGGACAGGGACCAGGTGCTGGGCTCACAACCGGCTCAAATGTAAAAGGAAACAAACTATTTCCGGGGGGGGGGTGGGGGGGGGAGGAGGGAGGAAGCCACCCTGTAGTCTTTCAAAACAATATTCATTGTCTCACGGCTTTCTTTTACCGTTTTGGTGACAGCTGCTCACTAAAGGCACCCCCACACCTAGCACTGCCATCGCAGCTCCTCTCGGTGCACCCGCAAAATTAGACGCTGACACTGCATTAGCTCCGAGGGCAGGGACTGTGTCTGCCATGTTCAGAGCTGTATCCCCAGCCCCCGGGCGCTGTAGGCACTCATGTAACATTTGTTGCAAGAATGAATGCACACATCATTACCAACATGGGGGGGGGGGGGAGGAAATGGCAAGCAAAACTTGCTGAAATACTACATTTCTTCGAATTTGAGACATTTCCAGGCCAATCAGGAAACCTTATCAGCTAGCAAGAGCTAATTTTAGCTGATGTTTTGATGCTTGAACCTGTTAACATAAGCACCCATTTCCACGGAGCTATTCATACATTTTAAATTAGTTACAAGCTATTGGAAATTTTTCAGCAGGTACCAAGCTTCTCCTACCAGTCATGTAAATTCCTTGCCTTCGGGTCAAGCTCATTTTAAAGACAGGATCATTCGCTTCATCTTCCAGCTAGCTATTGTCAGCTGCCCAGAGATCCGGGCTCCCCTTGTCACTACTAAATTAACAACAGGAACAAAACCTTCACCTAAGATCAAAGAAACAGACTGTCGGTTGCTCCTGTACATTTTTTAAAAATGAGCGAGTGGATGAGCTTTTGCAAACAAACAGTTGGGACTGAAACTAAAAGCCAACTCGGTAAGCTGTGCTAAAAGTCACCCTTTGAGGCGTAGGAGGGAGAAAACTGTCAATGATCATTTATTTTTTTTAATAAGCGTCCATCCCTGATGGGAAATTTCAACCCAGATGGTGCTAATTCATGTTTATTATTCATCATGTCTCTGCTTACGCAGACAGAATATCCATCTTCCCTGGTGATCCACTGGGTACGCTCACACCCAGCAAATGAGAGGGCCCTGTTCGCTATTTCCCAATAGCTCTAACTCAGAGGCAAGAGATAGAGAATCGCTCATTCTAGGGACTGTTAACCAGCCAAACATTTCTTGTCATTTGATGCCCTCGCTTTAAATATACAGTTTACGCGAGTTCGAGCCCCGCGTCGGGCTCTGGGCTGATGGCTCAGAGCCTGGAGCCTGCTTCCGATTCTGTGTCTCCCTCTCTCTCTGCCCCTCCCCCGCTCATGCTGTGTCTCTCTCTGTCTCAAAAATAAATAAAACGTTAAAAAAAATTAAAAAAAAATA